CCTGTGAGATGTGTGCCAACCTCTGCTGGAATCAACGCTGTCACCAGCCTTTGCCAACAGGAACTAGACCAGTAGATGTGGCACCTGGGGACATGGTTTAGTGGGACTGTTAGGTTAATGGCTGGATCTTAAATGTCATTTCCAGCCTAAACTATTCCATGATTTTATAGACCCTTTCCAGTGCGTTTTTCCTCTAAGAGGCAACTCCTGTGTCATCCGGTTCAAACACATGTTGGAAATGGGAAGTTGAATTTCACACAGTTGCCTCTGCACTACAGTGAGGGAGCAACAAACCTGATCAATCCTCTTCTCTCCTACTTCTTCATCCAGACCTGATCTTCCACAGGAGAAGTTGGAATCAGGAAGTTTCCAACAGCTCTGCTCCTTGGTCAGCTGGGAGCTGGCTGGAGAGCTCCCCACATCCACCAGTGCCTCCCAGTCACTGGGAATTCTGTGTCGTACAACCAGGGCTGTCACTGCAAGGTGAGCCATGCACAGGCACATGTACATCTGCGATCCCTGGGCCGATCTGAGCCACTCCATCACAGTCCCACTGGACATCCACTCCAATTTTAGCCCTATGGGTGGAGGTGATTCCTCCTCCGCCTTTTTAGGTGAAAGTCATAAAAGCAGCCAAGAAACCGCAGGGGAGAGGGAGTCAGCACTGGTGTCAAGGACTGAGAGCAGGTTGTTCTAGTTTGCTTTTATTTCCCTTCTTCTCACCCTGCTTCCAACATGAGTTTTTTGGGGGGTTTTTTGTTTGTTTTTTTTTTCTTTTTGGTGCCTTCTGCTGCCAACTTTATTTGCGTATTGCCCCCATCATACACCCAGTTCTGAGGGTGCTCTGGTACATTCAGCAGTAGCTACGAGAGAGAGAGAGAGAGCAGAAAGTTAACACTGCAGGAGACCTTGCCCAGGAACGCGCTCCAGTTTATTAATACCAGGGAGCTCACAGTGGAAAGTGCAGTGCACCTACTGGGTCTTCTCATGCTACTTTTGGAAGGATTAAAGTGCCCTAGGACAGCAGCTGCTCTCTGAAGATGTGTTTGCATGCCAGCAGTGCTAATGCATAGAATAAACTGGATTTTTCCAATTGCTAATGATTTTAATCTTTTCCTTCTGTTTCTGAAGGGGCCGACAGAAAACAGGGTTGGCTCGTGGTGCTTCCTTCCCTTTTTTTCCAGTGCGTTTCGTGGAATGTTAATCACACGCAAACTCTGAGTTCACCTTCCACCCGAGGATTGGCCACGGGGTTATTGCACTTCCATGGATGCTGCTCTGCACAGCTGTGTCCCATGGCCAGGCTGAAGGGAAGATGTTCTCAGCACCTTGCTCTGCAGTTGCACCACACCATCCCTCGGCATTTGTTTCCTTCACCAGCTTTTGCCCGGGAGCCATTCCCGGAATTTGTCTGCCGAAGCGAGGGACAAGCATTGCTCTCCAAAGCAGCTGCTCCACAAAGGCTGAGCCATGGATGTGTCTGCCTGTCCTTTGGTAGAGCCAGCCTTGAAAGCCACAGTGCAGCCCATGCACTGCACAGTCTTCCATTCATTTTATTTTTTAGCTTAGAATTTCCCCCTGTTCAGCAGTTGGGATTCATCTCCTCCTGAAGGCCAAACCTGAATCCTTTGCAACTGAGGCAAAGCACTTCTATGGATACGAATTCTTTTCACTACAGGCACCTCCTGCCAGGTTGACTGGATGCCTCCTACTGATCTGAACAGTCCTGGAGTAAGGACTTCTTCTTTTCAAGGGATGCTGTTTCATCCTGAATTTTGCAATCAAGATGCAAGATTTTCTCTGTCTTCACCACACAGGTGACAAACCTGGTCACCTTCACACAGTGGCAGTGAGGGAGGGGAAGGCAGGAATCCAGTACAGGGCCCCTAAATAGGTACAAGCCCAGTCAGTCACCCAGGACACTGAGGGCACGGATGGATCCTTCAGAATGAAGAGCACCACTTTCCCCATCTCAGCTCCTGGGAAACAGCTGCTGTGTCCACAATTGCAGATCATAGTCCAGGATGGATTCATGGGGATAATGGGATAATAGATGTGCAGGATCCTCCCTCTGTTAGCTTTGCTCCCTGCAGCAGCTAGCCCCCAATATTTGTCCACACCCTTGACAGGTCAAGGGGCAATGGCTTTAAACTGGGAGATCGGGTTGGTTTATATTGGATATTAAGAAGAAATTCTTGGCTGTGAGGGTGGTGAGGCCCTGGCACAGGCTGCCCAGAGAGGCTGTGGCTGTCCCATCCCTTGAAGTGTTCCAGGCCAGGTTGGATGGTGTTTGGAGCAACCTGGGATAGTGGGAAGTATCCCTGCCCATGGCAGGGAGGCCGGTAATAGATGTCTTTTAAGGTCCCTTCCAGCCCAGCCCATTCTGGAATTCTGTGATCCTGGACACGTTTGGGCCTGGCTGTAACCCCAGCAACACATGTACACCGAGTTCACATGTGCTCAACAGCAGTGACTCAAATCAAAAGGCTACAGATCAACCCACCCTTCTTTCTCCTCTTTCCTGCTCCTACCGCCAGTCAGTGTGCAGAGCACAAACCTCCCATTTTTTTCCCCCTGCAAAGCGAAACATTCTGTATCTTATTTATTTTGAAAACAATTTATAAGGGCAATAATAACATCCTTTGACTTCTTGCCTCTGTAGCCCCAGGCGCTCTATATGCCTCGTTACGGGGGGAACTTTTTTAGGCAACCCCGCCGCCTGCTCATTAAAATTCTGTAGGTGTTGGCTGATACAAACGGAGCAGAAAGTTGCTTCTGAGCGCAGGGAAAATCACGGCAAAGCAGGCCTTGTGGTTCAGCATCCTGGAAATCTGAAAACCTCTTGTGGGTTCCGTCGTCCCACGCAGCCCCGCGCCGCTCCTGGACGCACGAGGAGGCGACGGCGCGGCCGGCTACGCGAGGAGGCAGTCGCTTAACACGGATCCGCTGCAAAAAAAAAAAAAAACCTACCAAAACCATAGATTGTGCTTGCCTTTTGTAGAAGGAGATAAATAACGCAGAAGTCAAAGTGGCTGCGACAGAAAACTTTGGAGAGAGAAGCTGAGCCTTGGAAAAAACCCCTGGGCTCCGGCTGGGAGAGTAACGCGCCTCAAAATGGCGAAGAGGAGGAAAAATGTGCAGAATGTCCTTGCGCTGTGTAAAGAGTAATTGCACTGGAAGGGAGCTGAGAACTAAGCAAACATTACTTCCAGTTTGATCCATATTAAGATTTATCGACCCTGAAAGTCAATATTCTCTGCGCCAGGGCCAAGGTTAACACTGAGTTTGAGGCCAATGGGAAGGCTGTAATGAAGTGCTGGTTAAGAGGCCCTCGCAAAACTATCTGGTTTTCCAGGAGGGGTTGGAAGTCTTTACACGTGATCAGCCCCATCTTCCTCTGCGTTTCAAAGCCATCCAAATCTGCCAGATTTTCTGTCAAATCCCGGCCACATTAACTCCGTGCCTGATAAACTGATAAACCCTTTGGACAGCTCTTCCTGCAGAGGCATAAACCACCTCTGTGCTACAGTCACCCTGATGCTTTGATCATGGTCAGGACCTGCTTGTCGCAATCCAGCATAAACACAAATGGAAGGAAAAGTTGACCTCAGCTGATGACAAGCTAAGAACACATGATGCTTTAGGAAAAAGCAACACTAGTGAACTTCTGTCCTTTGACAACCCCTGTTTTAGGGAAGAGCAAAGCACACAGCACCACACAGAAATTTGCAAGGTTGTGAAAGTAGAAAATACTTCTTTGGAGCCAATAAAGATGTGACAGCTCAGTTACAGGGAAATAACCCACCCTGCACTCTCACACCCTGGCCTTGCCATTGCAATTTTACAATTTCCTTTGAAATTCACTGTGAGACGTTAGATCGACAGAGAGCAGACAAACCCTGTACATTGAAAATAAAGTTGTTGTCCAAAGTCTGCTCTGTGCCTGCAAAAACCCAGACTTCCAAGGCTGGTTTGGGCACTTGCCTAAAACTTTACTGCACCTGCAGAAAGGCTTGTGTCCCAGACGTGGTCTGTTTTCCTCAGTTTTACCAATTAGGCCAGTAAATGATACCACTTCTCCCAGAGAACCTGGGAGTTCTGATCTGCCAAATCCTCAGCAAGAGCTGGAGGGTCAGAGCTGGAGAGGAGACCATGGCCATTATGAACCTGGTGACAGTACAATCCAGCAGAGCTCACCATAAATTGAACGAATATTTTTGGAGACTACACAAGACCACAACCCTGACAGGGAGCGTGGATTTCTTTGGAGCACAGAGGGGAAAGCAGCACAGCACTTATTTCAGCCCAATTCCAGAGGAACAACTCACTTTTGAAACTCCTCTGAACAAAGTTGCAATGATTTCCCCAGGACTTTGCTGGGGTTTGTACATTTTAATGTCTTTCTCCAGCTGCTTGCTTTCTCCCTGTGTTCATTAAGACATTTGGTTTTGTTACAAGGTCTGGGCAAGAGAAAAATAGCTGTATGTATATTTAAACAGACCATTAAAATAAAGAGCACCATGTACTGGCACAGAAGAGTTCTTAGAGTTATTCATATGTTTCTGGGTCCAGCAGGGCTGTTGTTATGCACAAACAGCATCTCAAGCCCAGCTTTTACCAGTGTTCCCATCGCAGCCTTGTTCATCCATGCTTCATTTTCCTTTCCTTTCTTTGGATCAGAACCTGCAAAACACAATTGTCTTCTGGAGGAGGGAGGATCTTGAGAGAATTGGTCCCTGATGACCTCTTTTGGCTCTCCAAACTGTTAAACACCTCCCTCTGACCCTCTGACCCTGTGGCAGCATCTTCCTTAATAACCTGAAATAGAAAGCAACTCAGCAGGTTCTAAGGGGTGTTTTCCATCTGCTCCATCATGTCAGAATTAGGCATAAAAGCGGAGAGAAAGACAGATAGCTGGGAAAATATGCCATCAAATGGCAGCCTAACCCCTTACCAGTAACACAAGGGTGCAAGCCACATTCCCAGACCACTGGGCAAGCCAGGTCTAAGGGAAAGGAGACTCACTGCCTGCAATTCAGTGACAGCTACAAATACACCCCCAGACCCAGGACGTGGCCCTTCCCCAAAACACAATCAGTGAGAAATCGGCTCTCAACCTAAACCTTTATTTAGCTGTGTTTTACAATTACCACATAACTTGGCTTCATGGGCATGGCCCTACATGGACTAGGAGAGCGCTCAGCGAACAGGGAGCTGAGCTGGCAATGCCATTTTCCCACACTGCCTCACAGAATCAGTTTTCTTCTCCCAAATGACAAATGGAAAACTGAAAAAGAAGAAGAAAGCTGTTGCCATTCACTAGCTCCTGGAGTGTATTAAAGATGACATGGGCACAGCATCTTTTTTTTCTGGGAATACAAGATACAGCCTTTTGCATTTCTGCACAAAAATGTGTTTTGTCCCTAAAGGACGTCACTATTCATTCTGTGCAAATTAATCACACATTCCCACCCGAACCTTTCATTAGCACTCGGGGATTTGAGCCGCTTAAACCTTGCAAAGGAGGTTTCGAGGTCCATCATCAGGGAACATCACCCCCTTGAGAGCAGAGAAACAGCTCAGGCAGCAGCTGTGAGGTGAGAGAGAGAGAGAGAGAGACCAAGCTCCAGCTTTCAGCTTGGAGAGTTTATACCTTTAAGAGGTACAAAACAAGAAAAAAGAAAAAAAAAAAAAAGAAAGAAACCCAATCCTTGAGATGAGTCACTCTAAAGTGTGCCCGTTTTTCTGCTCGCAGGCCTGAGCAGCCTCACACAAAGCCCCCGGGGGCACAGGCTCCTCATTTGGCAGAGCTCAGCCAGAAGCGGGGGCCGGGGAATACCTTTATGCTGGAGAATTTGGCTTGTAACGAGGCTTTTCAGGAACATGGCAATTGCCCACGTGAACGCATGGCTTCCTGCATTAATATGCTAAAGAGACAAGACAAGCATCTTTAGCTACAGCTGAGGACTAATTAAGACTGCTCTTTTACAAATATTGCATGGTTCGTTCCATTCTTCCCCGATTAGGAACAAAAGAAGAAAAGAAGTCATTTATTGTCATGAGTCACTTCAGATACAATGGAAGGAATTCCAACAGATGACTGAGACAAAACAAAAGCTGACATTATGAAAGCCATGTCTAAACACTAATTTAAACTGTCAACTTGCTAGTGAGGAAGGTTCATGACAGAGGGAGAATTAAAACTTAAAAGAGCACATAAATCATTGAAGAGATTAGCAGCGTGTGATGGGGCCAAAGTACTCCGTGCTGGAAACTCTCTGAATGGTAGCAGCTCCCTCTCAGTTTGGGGGTGAGTGCCGTGTTTTGCCAACAGTCCAGGACTAAAATGAGTAATTCGGGCCGCGTTCCCAGAACGGGGAGCTGTGTGAGTCAGTGGCCTTACTCCCGTTTCCAGCAGGTGAGGATCAGACCCTTTGTGTCCTGAACAGCATCTGAGCGTGTGATAAAATCTAGCCTGAGCTTTCCTCCGACCCACTGGAAGTGCTTAACTTCGGAAAGGAGCCAAAAAAATGGCTTTGGGTCACACCCGGAGCTGCTGTAAATGCTCATGACTGATTCCCTCAGTCTGGCTGCACCACTCAAGAACCCTTCCCTCTCACCAGCACCACAGTATCTCCTCTATTCTGGTTTACAGGGGACATATCTTCAGGTAGTGCCTGTTAATTCTCTGCAGACCTGCTTTCCACCAGCAGAAGCCTCGCTCATCTCCACTGTAAGAAAGAAACAGGGCTCCTAAAAAGATGCGCTGTGAGCTGCAGGGTTTCACTTGTGGATCTTTTTTTTTTTTTTTTCATACACATTAAAACAATTTCCTACAAAAGAAAGATTTTTTTCAAGCAAGCATGTCCTTTTTTTTTTTTTTTTTTTTTTTTTTTTTTTTTTTTTTTTTTTTTTTTTTTCAGCCCAGATGGCTTTTCACACGGGCACACAGCCTTCAACCCTACAGCCCATGTAATTTTGTGTAAGTCTTGCAGGGACAGTGAGACACAGTTCTGCAAAATGGTTGAGTACTGGGATTAGATCCTCTAAAATCTGTGCCTTTATCTGCTTATTCCTGCTAATACTCCCAAAACAGAGAAACCACTATAGATTACCAAGGTGGAACCATCCGTATTGATGGATTTAAGAAGATTTAGCGCCTATCTCAACTATTTCAAAACCCAGGTGAGCCTGAAATCCACCCAAGCAAAAGTATCTTTTCTTCAACTTCTCATGCAGGTTCCTTTTCTCTTTCCTCCCAGACCAGAGAGCCAGCAGTGAACTCACACCCCAGAGTTTAGCTTAGTCAAAAGTAAAAGGCCAGGATGTATTTGATTTGTTGCTGAATAAGAAGACTTCCAAAAATGCTGTTATTTACCCCTCTGAGGGCATTTTATCCATTGCTGTGGTAACTGGTGGGCAATGCTGTGTCTCCTGGACACCAGCAATGAAGAAGACCCTTGTCCTATGCTACCACCCTCCCAAGGATGGGGATATTGGTCTGGACAGATCACAGGCTCCCTTTAAGTGTCTAAACATCAGTCTAAAGTCAATGTGGAGACTGCACTGGGAAGGTCCAGGCCTTCTCATCCTGCAAGTGCTGCTGGAATTAGGTCACTCTTAGCTTTGGCTCCAATTCAGGCAGAAGTTCAGAGAGTCAATTATAAAATAAATAATAAGAGGGAAAGTAAATGAGATGCAGAGCCCTTTGACTTAGAGGGATGAAATCACTGTGGAAGCTGGGGAGGGATTTGCTGTGAGTTTAGGAGCAATCAGGATCTTTTCCAGCATCCTTGTGTTTTGCTAAGCTGGTTGCAGATGAACAGATTTTTTTCTTCCCATGCTTGTCATGAAAATGGCTACAGATTTTACTAAATTATTGTTGCCTACTTGTGTTATGACAGTCATTGGGCCAGTTGTGATGGGCCCTGCAGAAGGGATGAACAAGAGGACTGACCTTATTCAGTCAAGATGACAGAAGAGAACAGATAAATAGCAGGATGATACTGGCCACAAGACAAAAGGAGAAGTTTAAAGAGAATTAGACAATAACTTTTTTAAGCTATGGAGAGTTTCTTGTGAAGACCAGTGGAGAAGGTATCACAAAAACCAAGACAAAATGTGGGATCCTGGATGACGGTTTTATCTGTGGAAATGGGGGAATCCCACTCTGTTAGAGATGTCCTGCAGAAAATCTACAAGAATTGACCATACCTTGGATGAAAGGGCAAAGAGATAACCAGGATAAAGACAGTGCACAGTATGGATAGGAATGGAAGCAGCACTGGCTGTGATATCCTCAGAATTCAACAGAGCAAGAAGTAGAGAAACATGGAAAGAAAGATGAAGACATGTTGGCTCAGCCATGTTGATCAGTGGAGGAGTGAGATCTCTGAGCCATTCTCGGAGTAGAGAACAAGGCTGGGATATTGAGCAGTGGGGAGATGCCAGCTGGATTTTTGTGGAGTGATAGAAGTGGAAAAGGAGAAGGTCCCATGTGAAAGATAAAGTTGGACAAACTGAAGGCAAGCTTGCAGGATTAAGAGAAGAGAGATAAGAGGAGAGAAACATGAAAGACAAGACTTCGTGATGAAGAACATCACTTTCTCTCCAAAAGGTGCCAACCTGGTCAAGGGAGAGGAAAATGGGAGCACTGGGGCTTGCTCCAAAAATCTCCCCTGCATGTAGATATGAGGATCATTTGCAGGTCCACCAAGTACTGGGTCTGGCTGGTGCTTTTGAGGCAATGAGCTACCCTGTCTGTCCAAACTGGGCAAAGGTGAACCACCCAACAAGGGTGGTGCTCTGTGCACTTTGGTTACCACTCCACAGAACCCCCAGTGGACAAGACGAAGCTCAATGGGAGCCCAATGACATTGGTGGAGTCACACTCCAGGCTGACATCACTTTAATGTCACCGCAACTTCCCCAGAAGCCTCAGCTTAAAACTGCTGTAACTCAGGGGCAAATCAGGCCTTTTCACAACCATGTCAATAAAGCTACATCCTGGGTAAAATTAGCCCTGGGACAGTTATTCTGACACTTTCACAATAGCACTTTTTGGGGTTTTGGCTTTGTTTTGTTTTCCTTCCCCCCCCCCTTCCTTTATTTTAGTGGTTCTCCACTAAACCCACTTCCACAGCATGGGGAGGGAGGGAAACATTCCTGCCTGCTTCATGTGAGGGGATCACGAGGCAAGAATCAATGCAAGTGTGCTGACAAACAGATCACACTTTGGAGATCCGAGCCTGAACGTTACCTTATGTTTTAGCAGCTTCCTTGGCTCCAGCGCCTGGGACTGTTTGAATTTCCCACCGGCTCAGCCCGGCTCTTTCCCACATATTTGAGGTGCTGAATTAATTTCAAGCTCAAAGGCGCAGGATTTCCAGGCTCTTGATGAAGAGTCTATCACTCGAGAGCACGAGGAGTTGCCAGGAATCCTGAAGGTTGTTTGCCTGAATCTGGACTTGAGAAGTAGATGAGCCACTCGGCCCTGCGGGGTTATTTAAGGACGTTCCGGTATCTGCCGTGATATGAAGGCAACGAAAATATTCTTGAGTGTGTGTGTGTGTGTTGATGGGACAGAGGTCCATAAATACATGAGCAGTTGGCTGCATTTTTCGCTCAGCTCCCATCCCTGTTTGTAAACACTGGGGAAAGAGACCCAAATCTGAGTCCAACGCGCGGAGCAGTCACAGAACGTGCTGTAATTCCCGTAATGCGAAACAGAGCGGCCCCGCTAACCGTGCCGATCTGGAGAGAATTCCTGACATGATCCGTTTACGTATTTTATGTTAATCACTTCCATCTCAGGAACACACACAAACAATACCCTATTAGACGTTCCCCTCCTGGCACTCGGACAGCAGCTCGAGCTGCCTCGTGTACCCGAGCGGCGGCCGGAGCAGCCGCAGTGGGGACGGGAGGCCGTGGCCGGATGGGCTGCAGATGGGAAGCAACCACGCAAAGGTTGCTAACTCCTACTCTGGGCTTCTTCGCTGGTTTTTCCCGTGGGTTTTTTGGGGGAGAAAAGTCTCCAGCCGCTGGCCCAGGAGGGCTAGTGGGTGTCAGAGCGCTGCCACCACCCCTAAAACCCCAAAGCTCTTCTTCGTGGGAGCAGGAGGGAAATCTTCTCAGCACAGATCTCCGCAACGCTGTGCCTTGAGCAGGTCCCCCCTGGGGTAGCACGGAAAGGACAGGATTTAGGATAAATTGGCACCTGCCTGGTCAGGTTTCCCCATCTCTTATCCTATACTAGGGGTAGGGGAAAATTTAACTCTTTAAATAAGCACTGGAATTTGCCTGGAAAATATTTTCCCAGTGGAGAGAAAGACTGGATTACTCAAGGGCAGGGGTGAGCATGGAGCTACAGCAGGGCTTTGCTGCAGGTTGTGACACAGATGTCACTTATGGAGGGGAGGTGGGACA